GCCGCTGCCGGGCGGGCTCCGGCCGCCCCGCACCGACGTCGGCGCGAAGCCCCGCCGCGCCCGGGGTGGAGCGGGGGGTGGGCGCGTCGCGGGAGAGAGGAGGCAGATGCTTCCCGAGGCGCAGCCCCGCCGGAGGGGCTCGACCCTGGCTGGTGCCTGTCCGCCCCCTCCGGGACGCGGGGACCCACCGGGCGGGTGTCGGGGAGCGGGCAGCGCCATGCGCCCCTCCGAGGAGTGAAGGGGCGTCCGGGCTGCTCCGGTGCGGGCGCGGAGCCGCCGCGGAGGTGGCCCGAGGTGACGGGAGGCCGGGAGAGGTAGCGCTGCCACCGTAAGTCCCGGCAACTTCACCGCCTGCCCTTCGCCACCCGCCGGCCCCCGGGACAGCGGCAGCGGGGCAGGCGGGGCGGGAGAGGCGCCCGGGTCCGGGGAGCGGCGGGCAGCGGGGTACCGGGGGGAACACAGCCCCTGGCTGATGGTACACCAAGAAATAGAGGGGAAAGAGGGAGTGGGGTGTAGGAGCTCCGGCGGCGTGTGCGGTGCACCCCCGGGGAAGGGGCGAGGGACGCCCGGCGCTGGCGGTCGGGGCGCACCGCGGGGACGGGGCACGGTGGATCCCGGAGTTTCCGCTGCGGTTTCTGCACTGGAGAGCAGGTCGCTGTTGGTATCGTATGGGTTATAGAGAGCAGCCGCTCTCCGTACTAGAAGTACAGGGCGTTTAAATAACACCTGAGTCGCTAGTTCTTGTTTCTCAGGCATGTCATATTATTTCCGTGTTATTTTTCATCTGCTGGACCGGTATCTGTACTTACTTTGGCATTTCACACCGCGAATGTAATAAACAGCATTAGTAGGTTTCAGAATACGGCCACTGATGACCGTAGATTGATGTATGAGGTTATTTACTGGATGTGTCCAAGTACAACATAATGCCTGCCAATTTTGTCTTTAAATTGCTATATTGATTCCATTCTTGTGGGTTGTTTTGACAAGGTTAATGTAGTTGACAATTTGCAAAGGAAMGAGAAAAACTTCTGGTTTATTTTAGTTACAGAATGGCAATTGTAGTCGAAATGATGAAYGAAACTATCATTCATAAAAAGAGTAAATAGAAAGATGTGTGTCGCAAGACCTCTAGAAGTCAATATCRTCAATATCTAACAGATGTCTTCCTGCCAAGCTTTTACATACCCTGGCAATCCTTGAACTTCTCGARGGTAATAGAGTATGTGATATTCTTCTCAGGACTGTGCACTTTAAAGTTAAGTAGTCTGGTTAGAGGGAATTTAGCATGAATTAAACAAGGCATCCCAATTTAATGCCTTTGCTTTTTTATAGGCACTGCATGAGGTCAAGGTTTTGCCTCTGCTCCTTTTCCCCTTCAGTGGCTGAAGGATGATATTTGGGGGGCCAGAGGGAGGACACCCCTATTTTGTCAGTGAAAGGGTCTCTYCCTRTGCTACTCTRGGGCTGAGTGTATCAGGGCTCACCAGGATAACATTGCTTGGCTAYCACCAGCTCAAACTGCAGGTGGTGTWGAGCTGAAGAGGGAATTTAATTCASYACTCAGAATCCTRAGCATAATTGTCAAGTAGGTAAATGAAATACAGGAGAGCTAATGCTCCATTTTAATTTCTTCAGACATATGCTAACCTTTGCCGGTAGGCAACTTTTGCTAAGCTGCCACTCTGATGCTTACTATAGCTGTCATATGCTAGCTGTCATGAAATAGTTCTGAATGAACTAAAATAGTGTGTTTCTGTACCTGCTAGCATGTATTRGAGTGTGCTAACTTTACAAATCTTGAGTAGGTGTTGGTCCTTTAAAGATCAGTGGCAAAATCCCAATTAAACCCTCCAAAGGGTGGGCTTCTCTGTAGATCTTCATTATCATTTATAGTGACTGCCAGTCAAATTTAGTTAAAAATTCAAGTGGCAACGTTTAAATTTGGTTGGTGATGGCACATCTAACAACTCTACATAGTCTTAATACCTGTTAAAAAAGCTATATAGAATAAAATGTATTGTGCTTTCAAGAGGAGTAGGTGGTTCAGATTTGTCTTACCCTCTGATTTTATGTTTCATCAGACTGGATCATAAAAAAGTTGGATTGCACTTTGCATATGCACCATGTTTGAATACCTCATATGCTGGGGTATTCAGGCAGCACAGGGAGAATGTTTTCTGATTATATTTTTTGTGGCAAAGAAGTTTACCGGTAAACTGCTGAATATCTGACTTACTATAAAAAACAATTGAGCCATGTTAGTTTAGCTCCATGAAGTTCATAAGATTTGTTGGGAGATGAATGAACAGAAGCATCTTTTCTAAAAATCTTGTTGAAATATTAAAGAATAATATGTTCACAAGGATTAGCTTAATAAACTGACTGAATCTARTTTAGCAAACTTTTTCTTTGTATGTCTACAGCTGAATGGTTTTGAAAAGAATCTGAAAAAGTTGAGAATTTTCATTAAAGATTAAAACAATATTCTACAGAGGGCTTGCATGATTTATTTTTATTCCAGCTCTCTTCCAGATTGAGATAAAATGGAGCAATGTTTAAAACTTAGCTAGTTAATTTTAAATTTGTATCTGTGGACCTATAAAAAGCTACATGGGAATCGTTTTACATAATAATATTGGCATGGCCAGCATAGCTGCCGGTAATTCCTACTAGTTTTGTATAAGTGAAATGGAGGAAGAGAGAGCATATCATGACTTAAAGTTCCTGAAAAATCATTAGATAGAAAAATAAGACTCTTCTAYGCTTATTTTAAAAATTATGCACGCAAATAGAAGTTTTGAGAAAATAATCAGCTAAACAGTTGAGCTAAACTCTGCTGAAAGTTATGCTAGCAAATACCCTGAAATCCAGTTTTGAAAGCAGTAGTTGCTTCTACATAATAGTAAGCCAGTGAACGCAGTCTTGTTTTATTTCTGGTGATAAGTGTTTGAGTTCTAACTGTTTCCATTGTAGTCAATACTGAAACTCAATGCCAGCACAGATCCTACCTCTGCCTTTCAGGAGCCATCCTGTTATGTGCTGAGCCCTTTTAACCATTGTTTGTGTTCGAGTGGCATCCAGTCAGGTCTCTCCCTAGAACTACATACAGAGAGTTAAATTCATTCCCTTCGAAAATCTGCAGTGTAAATAGTCAAGRAGGTCTAAGACACCTTGTCGAAGGCCAGGTGATGATCTCAGTCTGAACACGAATACTCTCTACTTAACAGTAGATTGAAAACTTTTTAACAGGAATGAATGCTATTTGATTCTTTGGTAAAAGTAACCAAGGTTGTATGTTATTTTCCACTGATCTAATTTTCTTCAGTATTAATCTCCATATTTACTAGCRTTGACCTTCCAAAGCACTTAATGACACATTGGTTTTTGCTCTTATACCCACTTTCCATTTGACATTGCTTGTAGTCACTCCAATGGACTGAATTACTCGGTAACTTAAACAAAGAGAACTCTGAATTGCTCACATGAAGAACTACCTAATGCAAGATAACAATGGCAGAGATAATTGGCTATATCTCAGTCAAGAAGGAACACTGCTAGCAGCATTGRGTTTGAGAGTCACCTGGAAGTTACAACTGGAAAATCCATGTTTCCTGCTAAGTGTAGTCACAGCTGTGTTTCAGCTGGACAACTTTTTAATCAAGGTGRATACCACAGGAATCTTTCTTCAGACCATATTCTGAACCAACCAAGGATGTGGTCTTGCCTTACCAGAGAGACTGTGAGCTWTTCAGTGGACTCCACTTTTGAGATGACTCATGGTTAAGGAGAGTGGGAAGGACCTGGGGGTGGTAGTTGCCCTCTGGCACTGAGCTCCTTTTGACAGTTCTGCTTTGTATGGATGTATGCAAAGTACAAGAACTTTTGGTGTGCAGCCATAAGAAGGAAGTGGAGTCATTGGTCATAGGGAATAGCACTGGGAACAAGAGTAGATATAAAGCMCATCAGAGATGTGCCGCCATGTGTTTTCCCTTGGGTCCCAAAATGCCTTCTGAATTAGGATACTATGGCAGACAGGAGAACTAGAACCATTTTTAGCAAGTTGCATACTGAAGTGTAGTCCTGAAAAGTGGTTTTTTACAAGGATCTGATTAATGTGTGCACTGGAGACCCAGGGAACCTGCAGGGAGAAAGACTCCTGGGTCCAGGAGATGGACTGATGGTGCAGTACTCRGTTTCTTACCTGTAGATACCATACACAAAACCAACTGAAAAATTCAATTAATGTAATTGTATCTTATCTACTGCACYTCAATGTGACGGCCATACTCCTTTTCCCACAGTGATCCTGTGGGGTTCAGCAAAGGTGTCATGGAGTAGCGTCTGGACCAAGGCTTTTTTATAATTCATAATATATAAGACCTGACACAGATTTGACAGAAACAGCTATTCTCACCATGCTTTTAGGAGTGTTTTTTGAAATAAACATGCATTTCAGTTTAATATGTCACAYTTCAGTGTTGCAGTTTCATGTGACACTGTTTAGCAAATAATTTCTTGCTTGGTCATATCCAGCAGCGTCTATAAGAACCAAATCACTTTGCCTGTGGTTTTTGATGAATAATGTTAAGTATTACCAAGACTTAGATGAATAATACATTCGATAAATTCTGCAGTATTTTTAAATCTATGGTTTCATTATATTTTATTCATGGTAGCTCTAGTGGTATGTACTTTTAAGGAGTATTAAGATATGATGTAAACTTGCTGGTGGCTTTGACATGTTTGTTTTGTGATGTCCTCATTACTTTGGGGTAAAATAGGGGTTATAAAATTGTTATTATTCAAAAGGAGGTGTTTGAAATTACTTTCTCTTACTGGGTACTCTATGAAGTGCTAAACTGCCCATTGACAATTAGGAAAAAAATACTTTTATTCAGATTATTTCTTCTAGAAATTGAACAGTCTGCAGGCAAGGCCAAGTGAGTTGAAAGACATATTTGGAGGCTGCTTGAGTCAAGATGAATTGTGGTTTGTTTCCAGAATTGGCTGCTCAGAATTAAGCTGACAATTAAAAATGCCACTTTTAAATATATTAAATGYCTCTGAAAACACAGTACTGCCATTACAAAGATGTCAAAGCTTCATCATTAAGACTGTGCTGAGATATACCTGTAAAAGAAAACAAAGTAAACTTCTATTTTACCTTTTATCAGTGATGGGAATGAGACTCCACATTTGGCACAATATCCCTTCAAAGGTCAACTACTTTTTCCACTTGTGGTTCTTTAATAATGAAATATTTACTCACTTTACARTGCTCACATAACAAAAACTGCTGTAATTCATGACAGTGTTTAGAGCACA